GTGGATTGTGTTTCAGGGTCATTGGTCAATCTACCAGTAGACTTAACTGAAGAAAACCTTTCCAGACAGTCCAGCAAGAACCTACCTCAGATATTAGAGACAAAGACTAATGGACTGGACAGTAGATTTAGTAATATCAAGAAAAAGTCATTGCCATCCAGGTAATGTTGCCCAGACAGGGATCATGGGGAAAGGGGAAGTGGGATTTGGTCTAACCACTCTTGTCCCCTGTGCACAGTATATGTGTCTTCACAGGTCCTTCAATGATCAATTAAATTTRAAATGTCATGTTGGTCTCTTGGTTGTCAAGCTTGATTATTATATTATTGTAAGTTGTAATCACTTGGTAACCCTCAATTTTGTAGCATTATCAACAAGGAGTCTCCATCTTTCTTGTCTCTTCCTGAGGAAAAACGAGATCTCTCCAATAGACTGTCAGTAGATAGCATCGCATTTCCAGCCTCTACAACATCCAGAACCACAGTCAAAGAATCTTACTCATCAATGATACAGCAAGCACAAAGAAATGCCAAAAAGAAACAAGAGGTAAGCTCAGTACATTTTGTAGCTCGCATTCCTGGTAGGGGGGGAAGGGTTGGGGGATTGCACAGGGTTTCCCTTCTCACTTCCTCTATCTCTCCCCCAGTAAAAGGATGCTCTTCTCCCCTCTTTACCAGAAGATACGATTCTTACTTCCCCTCCCCCAAAGAAAACAATTAGCTTTTCCTCTCCCACTACCCCAAAGACAGCGAATATCTCATTCCATCACCCCCTAAAGAAAGCAATTCTTTTTTCTCCACCTCCTCCACCCCTTGAAGAAAACGATTCTCTCTTCCCCTCCCCCACCTTATAATTTAAAAAATCCCCCCCCCAAAAAAAGACCCCAAATTGTACAACTTAATAGGCCCTTTGCAGTTAACGGTCACGTGTCTGTACTGGTGAGCAAAATTTATTTATTTATTTTAAATTGGTGATTCTTTTTAGCTACTTGTAAAGAACTGAGTGAAACGATGTGTAACCAGTGTGTTACGAAATGCAGTGTTATTACGATCTCTCGAAACAGGTCTTTGTAGAAAGTTTGTTTGCTCACCAGTATATTTCACCCATGGGAATCAAGATGTTCATTCATTTGCTCTCAGTGAATTAATCAGCACGTGATTACTGAGCTGCAAAGGGCCTATTTCAGCACTACCCTATGCTGCAGTCATCAGTGCAATGAATAATACAATTAAATCGCTAATAAAGGCTCTGCACCATCACGCTATGGCAGCCATGACAAGAGACACAACAATAGGTTCTTTTTCCCCTGGGAAACTGAATTCTTTCTCAWGTAAATCATATTASACCAGAWTCAATTGTTCCTGYCYCCTGTCWTGGCTGCCATCATATATAGAAATCTAACAGTGCATKTATATTCCAGTCCCATCCTGTGGGTAAAGGTCCAGAGTTCAATCGTTCTGTATTCGATGTGTATGGGCACAGTCCTTTAGTCGAACAATTCCTCAAGAAACATCAACTAGCAAARGATGCTGGGACAGGAATACTGGTTCAAAGAACAGAAATAACAGCTTTGCCTCCGTATCCTTTAAAAAACGTTCAATGATTATGAATGCCCAATTCCTCTGCAAACCCYATAAAAATCGTTCTCGATAAAGCAGTTTTCGCATGAGTGGGAAACATACGTTACTGAAGGCACGCACACGGTAGGTGTATGCCGTAACATTTAAATGGCTTCTCATGAGAATGGTTATCGTATGAGTGGGAAACATACGGTACTAACTGACAGCACGTACACGGTACGACATGCCGTAACATTTAAATGGTTTCCCATAAGAATGGTTATCGTATGAGTGGGGAAAACATACGGTACTAACTGACAGCACGTACACGGTACGACATGCCGTAACATTGAAATGGTTTCCCATTGTCTTCCAGTAATTCATCCAATCACAGGGCGTAGTTACGGCAAGATACCGTACAGTTACAGTACGACTTTGAATTTGGTTGCCGTACTGTTTCCCACTCATACGGAAACCTCTTAATGCGCAAACGATTTGCGGTCGCACTGAATGTAGGTTTTAATGGGTCAATCAAGGCGTTTCCAWGACTTTTGATAGCCACGTGCGCTTGCCTTGCCTTTCATTGACATTCATCAAACCTACATTCATTTTCGTGAGAAAGAAATCATCGAAATAAACAGTTTATGACTAAAGTATTTTTTACATCATTTATTATGAGAAAAATAAATAATCAAATCACGTTTTTCTTAACGAAATCTCAGCCTGGAGGCCGAAACATATAAACAACTTATTAAAAAATCATTCAAAAAGACAAAAGAAATGTGCTTTAATTACAAAAGGTCAGTCAGTTGCGATCATGATGGTA